TGGCATCTTTAATACTGATTATTACAAAGACAATATATACAATATATTGAAATAATCAGAAAAATTTAAGCTAATAACATTTTCTATATTTCAATTAGATCTTATAAATCCTTTAAGACTTCACTTAGGTTCATATTATTTGCTGCTAAATCTTTTTTAATAAATTTTGTCCTTATAGTAGTGATGACACATTTCTCATATAAGTTCAATAGATGAAAATCATTTATTACATATAGGACAAAGTTTGTTCATAAAACTATTAAGTTTAATGTAAAATTCTTATGAAAGACATTAGTCTGATTTAGGAAGTTGATTTTTTTTAACATCTTAGGTATTGATGGATTTTATTCCATTGATTGAGATACTCATTCATATTTTCTAAAACATATGTTATTTTTTTTTTGCAATATCATTTCTGATTTTTACTCAACTGAACTTCCTGCTATTTTGCAAATTTAGCTGCTCTTTTCACATGTTTATTTTCTCTATATATACATATAGAACTTTAAGTTAGTCAGAATTTCATTTGCTCTTCTTTTTTATTTTCATAGCATATCATGAAAAGGTTAGTTATTTATTTTTATTTATGATTTTAAAAGCTATTAGAAATGATCAATATTAACAAAAATTGAAATTGATAATGTAGTTTATAATAGTTAGGAATTTTTTATTAAATTTATTATATTATACAAGACAAAATTTTACTAGAAAAACTTTTACTAGAAATTCTATTTATTAATAAACTTTACTTATTTTATTAATTATTGAAACATATAAATTTAACAATAGTTTAATAATAATAACTATTTAAATAAATAAATGCTAAAAAAGTTAATGTAAAAAAATAAAAATAATAAACATATAAATAAAATAATTAATCTCAGATAAATAAAAATGTTACATGACAATTATACAATTTTATTAGTTATACACATATGCAAACAAATAGAATTTTATCAGTTTGACACCTATGCTTTAGATAATAAATATAAAATTTTAGTTAAAAAATTCTTAGAATCCTATTTTCTTAGCAAACCTTCTATATAATTAATAAATGAATACTTGTTTAATTTATCACAATTTTTTTGTATTAATAAGAAAAATTGTTTCAACTTTTATAATTTTATAAATATAATATATTTTAATACTTATTTGAGAAATCCTTTTCTAAATTAGTTTTTGATAGAAATTTTTATATTATTATACAATTTGATTGTGAAGTCTATTAACTAAACTGAAAAATAGACTTCAACATTTATAGCAAGATTATAATTATCTGAAGAATAATAATTTAACTTAATAATCTTAAAAACTTATTCATATTAATAAAATTAAATCATTATTTGTATATCAATTTATATGTATAGGAAATATTGAGAAGATATACATATAAATTGAAAGTACATAATAATACTTCAAATACGTAAAAAAAGCAATAATAATGGATTGGATTTTATATCATAAGTTTAATAAATCAATGTTATAAAAATAAAGTTTAATTTATTAATAAAATATAAGTAGATTAATATAATTTAATAAATAAGATCTTATTCTCAAATTTATCAGAATATGAATTTCATAATTAATTTTCTAATAACTTATTCACTAATTAACTTACTAACTAAAAATTCTAACTTAACTAACTAATTATCTATACTTTTATTATAGAATTTTCTATTCTATTTATATAAAATATTTGATTTACTTCTATTACTATTTAAAAATAAAGTAAAACATAAAAATAAAGAAGCATTATAATTTTATTAAATATATTAACTAATTTAACTAAGTAAACAAAAGAAATTAATTAAACTTAAATAATTATATAAACTTATTATTAAATTACAGTTTAAGAAATTATGGCTTTCTTTAATAGTAATCTGTAGAATTATAATAATAGTTATTCTTTTCAAATTATAATCACTTTTATTAGTCTAATAATCTTGAGTTTATATTTATTAGAAAGCTTTTAATAAGATAGTTTAATGATTTTATTTCTATCAAAATATATTTATTAGATTGAAAGTTATTTCAATTAATATTTTCCTTTTTAAAGAATAAGTTTTGTCAAATGATATTCTTTGAATTTCTTATTTTTCTTATTATTAATTTACTTGTTTACAGATTCTAATAATAAAATTTACAATTTATTTAAAATCATTCTTTATGATTATTAATTCTAATAATCAATTGCATCATTTTTAGTTTAAACAGATTTTATTTTAGAAGTTATTATATGATGATTATCAATAAATAAAAACTAATAATTATTTGTTTATTTTTTTATAGGAGAGAAATTCTTATAATCTTAAGAATCTACATAGTCACTTTCTTTCAGTTATAAATATCTTATTAAAATTTTTTTTTCTAATTTTTTCATAATTTTAATATTTAACTAAAATTAGGATATAGCAGTCCTAACTCAGTGATTAAGTTATAAGTTTTTTATAGTAAAAAGTTTTATTATACAGCTATAGGACATTGGTTGAGATCTCAACTAATAAATAAAACTGTATAATTTTCATAAGAATTTCATTGTGACTAAATTGATAAATGTATGTACTAACATACGTTGTTATGTCTGATTTGTAACTCAAATAAAATTCACAAAAATTAATAATGCTAAGACTAAACTCAGGAAATCACAACGAAGATTTGTAATAAATGTCAAAGATTATTTTCAATTATACACAAGTAACTTCTGAATATTTCAGAGATTACATTTCAGTGATTACACCTTAAGTCAATACAATGAATCAATACAATACCATGCAAAGTTAATAAATAATAATAATATATACACAGGTTAAAAGATTGCGAAGGATAAGTTTTAGCTTGGTTAATTATACGCTTTATTAATAATATAATAAATTGTAAGTTCTTTACCTTGTAAGGTCATAAGGTAATAATTTCATCCAGTGAAATATTATCCTTACTCCTTCTTAAGATATATATTAATTGATGGATTTATTCATTGGTATTATTTCTCAATAATAATACAAAGATATTTATACATGTTTGATAATTATAAAATAAACTAAACTAAATATATCTATGAAAAATAAATGACATTTTCAAGGAAATAAAGTTGACAAAATTGATCAGCAAAGATGATTATGTCAATAAAGTTACCCATTATACTAGAAATAAAATTGATATCTGGATCTACAATGTTTCACATTGATTATCTCAGAAAATAAAATTGACATCTGAATCGACGAGATGATAAATAAAGACATTTAATTGATATTGGATTTATAATCAGATTTTAGTCAAAATTTTATACTGTTATAACGTATAAATCTAGTTGATTAATTTATTGATCAATGTTAATTACTACAGGTGTTAGAACATAAGGATACAAATAAAGTCAGAGATCAATAAACTTAACCTTTATTGATTGGTCTATAATAGATATAATCTTTCATTTTATATAATAATCGAATCTCTAATAATTTATTAATAAATTAGATCTATTGGATTATATAACTATTGAAATTCAATAAATCTAATCTATTTCTCATCTTACTTTAAACTAATAATACTATTCAAAATCTATTTTAACATATTACTTAAAAATTTATATCTTTTTTGAAATCTTTAAAATGATTTTTTTTTATTTAATTGAATTTAGAAAAACCTATTAGAAGTTTAGGTAAAAATATTTTAAACTAATAATTTAATCTTAATTATCTTAAAACTTAAATTTTCTAAAAATAGTTTAGGTAAGTATTATTATTTTAAACTATATAAGATTAATATTTTTTTTAAGTTTGTAAGCAAATTTGTCTACTAAATTATCTAATCTTTTTATATTTTTTTAAAATGTATTAAATTTATAGTAATTATTAAAATTATTATTATATATAAATATATAAATTAATTAATAAATTATTATAATATTTGATAAATTAAAAATTCAAAATTTTTAGTAAATAAAAAATTTAATTATAATATAATTATATAATAAAATATTTAAGTAATTTTTATTAATATTAATTACTTATTATTAATTTAAACCATTTTTTTTATATTAATAAGATTTGATTAGCTTAATCTTATTTTTTTTTTATATAAAATATTTGAGAAATATTATATTTTATCATAATATATATATACTTATTAAATCATATGCTTATTATAATTTGGGAGGTTTGCTAGGAAAATGGGGCTCTGAGCATTTTTTTTTAAAATTTTAATTTTTATTGCATTTTAATCTAACATTATCAAAAATTAAAATGCAATAAAAATTAAAATTTTAATAAAAAAAGCTCAGAGCCCCATTTTCCTAGCAAACCTCCCATTTATTTAAATAAAATATAGTTTTTTTTTCAAATTTTTTTATATTAATACTGATTAATAATCTTTATTTTTTTTTTTAAAAAAAAAAATAGCAATAGATAAACCAATTTACTTGCTTAATATTAGGATCATCATCTATATTAACAAATTTATTACAATCTGTTTTGTAAATATTTTTTGTACCAAAATATTATGTCTTTAATTTTTGCATATATCAAAAGCATGCTAGATTATTATGATCATAAAAAATAGATGGTTGGAATCATAATAATTTGGATGCTATTGAATAAGTATTTTCATAAATTAGCGTTTAATAAATCTTTATCACTTTATTCTCATCAATGAACCTTTCTTATATCTAAATCTATGTATTTGTGATCCTCAACAAGTAATTGAGTAGATGATTTCGAAGTTCCTGTACCCGTATTCTGAATAAATGGAGATTTTATTATATATGTGCTGGCTTTCAATAGCAATTCGCTCCTGCTTTGATTTTCGGTTTATTTGCAATTATCACAACTTTTTCTTTGTCGTTTTTGCTCGTTTTGCGAGTCAGATAGCATTTTATTCCATAGTAACTTATTATAGATCCGGTAATTTATTTAAAAATCACTTGAAAGTAATAACACTGCCAAAAATATTGATCATGGATATAATGCTCGGAATGTGTGTAAATTTTATTCGAAAACTTTATGATTTTAATCTTTTGGTAGACCACATATTTCACAACTACTAATACTACTTTGATTAACAAAGGTACAATGTCTACAAGACCATATTGAAAAACTTCTGCTGCCTCCAATTCCAGCATTATTATCACTACCTATTCCATTTGGAATTGGTGAATGATCTAACAATAAAAAAGGGACGATTTATTCAAATCCACATATAAAAACAAAGCTTAGATTAAAAAGAATGCTTACCATTTTCTCTCATAATAGTAACCAATGTTTGCCAACCTGAACTCTGAGCCAATTGGTTTGCATCCTTTTCCTCATGAGAAATTGCTAACCTTGCTAATGCTGAGAATTCATTCTATATATGATAAAATATAGTAAATAAATGGCATAAATATTCTTAAGCGTCAATAAATAACTTACATCATCTAATATTTGAGTTGATTTAACAAAAGTTAACAGTTGGAAATCTGATACGGAATTAACGTGCACATTGCCGCTATCTTTAAGCCCAAGATGACGAAATAATGTCGTATAATCCTGGACTAAAAAAGGTGGACCATGCCGATTTGCAATGGGAAATTGATTTTCTGAGGTAAAAAGCGGTGTAGGATTGGACGGGAAACCATCTGTAACCTAATAGAAACATTGCATTGAAATTTATAAAAAATAATCGTAAAAGATAAAACTTATTTGAACTTACTTTAACTAACAAATATTCTACAGGAAAACATGGCTTTGCACTTTCTTGTACATTTACACCATATTCATTTTTATATTTATAAAATACCTCAGGAACATATCTTTCTGAAGTACTCTCTTTAACTCTCATTGTACCTGGTTCCACACTTGCTTCAATTATATCAGCAGAAACCATAGATGCACAAGTATTTGATACTTGATATGCATTGACATAAATGCCTCCATCTTCATTGCCACTTACAACGCAGGTTATGAACCTGCTACCAAACTTTCCAGAAGCACTCCATTTTGTGAATAATGGGTGCTTATTCTGCATGGCTGCAGTGAAACAACATTCTTGAGAAGAAAGAAAATATGAATCGATATGTCGTTTATAATTAACCTTGCCTTGACCCGTACCGTCGTCAGTAAGATCAGTATATATCATTCCAACCTATCATTTCCAAATAGACTGTTATTATTAAAATGAAACGCATGCATAATTTTCAAATAAATAAAGTATACCTTAACTAGACCACAAGCAGCAGCTACTTCATCTATCAATTGTTCCTCGTTCCAAGGAAGGGTGAGTGTCAAGCCGTCTACTTCATCGTCTTGTGGTGGTTCATAAATAGCTTCAACAACTGCTTTAACTCCTAAGGGAACTTCAGGATGAGATTCGTATCGACCATACAAATAACCAAACCGTTGCAAACCAGTATCTCGCCAAAAGCGAATAAAATTCTCGACCAATTTTGGCACAGAAAATTCTACATGATCTACCATGCGATATTGCTAAAGCATTGAAAACATGTTAAAAAGGGATTAACAAATTATTATAGCTGTATCACTTAATTTAGCTCTTACCTGAAGTGCTAGAGTAACAGCACTTGGTTGACATTTTGTACATATGCCCTCTGGCCATGAGGAATGACCACCTAAACAATTCGTTTTCACTCGAAAATCTGGTTCTTCCAACGGAGGAATAAATTTGCCATTCGATTGCTTATTAGCTTTGTGGATACTTTTCAAATATGCATGAAACGATATGTGTTTGATTCCTTTTTCGGCAAGGTAACTTTGGTCATATGGCTAATTCACAACGAGATGTGATGTGTTATTAATATAAAATTTACAAATTACAAGTTATTACATTAGTGAAATAATATTTACCTCCAAAGGCATACAATAATCACACATGCCATTTGCCGCGTGTTTACAGCTAGAAAGTTGGTAATTGTAATAATCATCAGTTAACGTATACTTTGACGCGTTATAATTTTTACAACATACAATTTCGGATCTTTATTTCGTTTAATCAACCCATCTTGTTTATCTAATAAATCATCGACTGGATCTTGTTTCACATTTAATGGAGCTGGTGCTGATGTCTTCGCTACAGCAGAATCTGTTTGCATCGTATTTGATCCATCGGTTTCCGGCGTAGGCTCAACGAACGTGACATATAATAGATCACCATGACTTTAAAATTGATAAGATTCGTAACAATTATTACATGAAATGAAAACGATAAAGATCGTGAAATGCTACACTTACTTAATCCCTAGTTGAGAAATGGTCTTCCCGTTTAAATCAGTTATTGAAATAGTGTTTGTTGGTTTATCAGAAATCGCAAGTGAGCTATAATCAGCTAGCTTGAGTTGGTTTGCAATCTGTATAAAATTAAAATCAATCAATAAAGAATTCGTTTGAAATTTTGAAATTAAAAAGTTATTGATTATATATCACCTTTGTACCAAGAGAAATTATGCCTTCGTTTGGATCAACGTCAAGACGAAACGTACCTTCTTTGGAACGTATGCGTACTAGCTATGAATTGAAAATTGAGATTATAAGGAGCAAATATAAAGTATTACTTTTAACAACTGTATATAACCTACCATGATCAATTATTAGTTATTGATTCATTTTATAAAGACTTTATCGTTATTATATACATGAAAAAAATACATTGCGTCATCATATACATCATCATATTCATCATATTGTGTTAAACTGCACCCAATTAAATTTTAATTTTCTCATCCGATTTTCATGAAATTATTTTGACCAATTAAAAAATGGCAAGAATTGAACAAATGCTAAGTTGATCTGTTCCATTTTTAAATTTTAACCAATCATGTCAATTAAACATGATGCAGACTATGCTTTATTCTTATTAATAATAGAAGAGATATATGATTCTTTAAAATCTAAACGAACTAGATGATGATAACTATGAACTAATAAAAATAGTTCTTCTTGCTTTGTCTTCTAGTTATTATCTTGTTTCTCTCATACATAATATTGATAAATTTTTAAATATTGGTGATATAAAATCTTACCTTTATATGATGATATACAATATAAAAAAGTATTAAGAATGGAAAAACAACAATTTAATAGGCTAGTATAAATCTTACAGCATGATATAGTATTTTAAGATAAAGGAAATAAGCCACAAGCATCTGTTGATTTTCAATTAGCAATATTTCTTTGATGACTTGGTTCTAAAGATGATATCATGAGTATTTGTTCTTGATTTGGAGTATCAGAAGGTTTTGTAATTCTTTATGTTAATTGTGTAATGAAAGCAATAAGAAATAAAAAATCAGAATTTGTTCAATGGTCTAAAGACAATAATCGAAGTGTTATTTTAACTAAGACACCAACACAAATCCAATAGCATACTTTACAAGGAAAAAAAGATATGCAATTTAATGTCAAGAAATTGTTAATTTTAAAGGAATTTTTATTAATTATGTAATAGGATGGCTTGGATCAGTACATGATGCACGAGTTTATAGCAATTCAGATTTTTATCTTAATAGAACAGAATATATTCAAGATGAAGATTATGT